AAAAAGTTAAGTAACACAAAAATGTATGTCATATATAAATAAGATTTTTAAAATGTCAACAAATGTGTTGTTGTTTTAGATGTTAACTACTTTGGAATCCTTTGTAAGATAAAGGAGCTCTGGTAGTATAGTGGTTAGGGCATTTGGCTGCTAACCAAAAGGTCTGTGGTTCAAATCAACTAGCTCCTCTGTGGAAAAAAGATGAGGTAGTCTGCTTCTGTAAAGATTTGTAGCCTTGGAAATCCAACAGGGGTCACTATGAGTCAGAACTGACTCAACGGCAGTAAGTTTGGTTTTGGTTCTATAAGGTAAACATGCCTGTAGCAGCCTAATCTTATTCAAATCAAGTTACGACTCCCCCAAATTGAAAGACTGTAGGGCAGTCACCAGGAGAAAGATGCTTAAATACAAAACAGCAAACCCCCTTTACCTTGGAGGCTTTTTTCTTTTTGAAATGAGGTAAGGTATGCCACGTCATCATTCTAAAGTCAAAAAACTACTAAAATATATTGAACCTAGAATGGAATAAAGAGAGGCTCGTGTGATCAAAGTACTTCAAGCTTAAGACTTTCTTCAGATTTAAATAAAATTACATTAGAGTTAATTATATTCAAGCATGTAACTAAAGGTCATACTTTCAATATAAAGATATATAATCTAAAATAGGAACTTATTTATATAGATAAATACTGTTCAATGTTGCCAATCTCAATACGTGTTTAGATGTATAAGGTATTGTGCTAAGAGCTGGCAGGGGAATCATGATAAATACATGATTTGTCTCAGTCTCTTGGTTTTGGTTAAACCGAGTTATATTAGTATGGATACCATCTGTCCCACTTCATTCCTGTTGTCCCTACATAATTATTAATGGGCTGCATCTCCTGTCAAAAATGTTATTTTTGGATAAGAAATCATATGCTCATCTTATCTGTAATATTTAAACTTATAAGCTTATTAAACCAGTAACATTTTGTTTGAAGGCCAAGGCCATACACATTGTAAAGATACTTTTCTGGCAATTTCATAGTTCTATTTCCTATCATTTTCGACCTGTCTCTTAAATTGAAATCATGATATCATGACCAAGAATGAGCCCTGGATTACATTCTTCTTATTCACTAATTGTTTTCATGTAAAATGATCATATTTCTTCAGTGAGGTCAATAGTTCCTTGATAAATATTATACTTCTTTTGTACCCCTCAAGTACAGTACAGTGGGCATATTATCATAGCCTTCTGATAAATGTTTTTAAGTTTATAATAGAAAAAGTTATTACCTTGAATTAAAGATCACACTAAGTCATTGCAATGATAATATATGATCATTTAAGTTATTTTAGAGGAGTAATTCTTGATAAAGTCAAGTAAACCCAAACGGAGGGTTTATAGCTTGGATGTGTACTAAGAATAACCATATCATATATTATCTTGGTATTTTAGAGTTTACAAAGGATTTTCTCTTACACTGTGGATATCTTACTCAGAAGGTGTGGCTTGTGTTGGACCTTCTAAAAACTGAGCTTTATGTTTGCATAAGTCATTAGTTGGCCTCTTAGTAAAAGGATGATGACAACACATGCCCTATTGTGAGGTACAAGGAAAAAATATATACAAAACTTTGGGAATTTTAAATAAATTATGTTAAGAAAACATTCATTCAACGTTTATGGAGGGCAGACTGTGTATGTGTGCCAAGAATTAGACCAGACAGTGTTTAAAAATATGGATTGCTACAATCTCTGACTCATGCAGTTTACAATGCCGAGACTAAAAACAAGCTTTTTCTGAGGTGATCTAAGGGGTATAAAAAGATACAGAGGAAGGATCACTTCATTATGTTTCAGGAAGTCTGAGCATCAACAAAGAAATTAGTGTGGAACTGAGCTGATATTTGATGAAACATAAATGAATTTGGAAGGAAGATGAGGGCCTAGGAAGCAAAAAAAAAAAAAAAAAAAAACAGAAAATGCAAAGGACACAGAGCAGAAATTGCACTATGCTCAGAAGGCTCCAAAGAATATGTCCTGGCAGCAATCAAGGTATCTAAGGAAGAGTGGAAATTATTAAACAATATCATTAATATCACATGCAAGTAAATTTTTGCTGAAGATAATTCAAAAATGGTTAGAGTAGAATATTGATAGGGAACTTTCAGAAATTCAAGCTGGATTGAAAAGAAGACGTGGAACTAGGAACACCATTGCTGACGCTACATGGTTCTTGGCTGAAAGCAGAGAACACCAGAAAGATGTTTACCTAATGTTTTATTGATTATGCAAAGATATTTGACTGTGTGGATCATAATACTGCAAAAATGGGAATTCCAGAACACTTAACTGTGCTCCTGAGGAACCTGTACATAGACCTACATTTGAACAGAACAAGGAGCTACAGCCTGGTATAAAATCAGGAAAGGTGTGCATCAGGGTTGTATCTTTTTTTACCATACTTATTCAATCTGTATGCAGAGCAAATAATCTGAGAAGCTGGACTACAGGAAGAAGAACATGACATCAGGATTGGAAGAAGACTCATTAACAACCTGCAATATGCAGGTGATACAACCTTGCTTGCTGAAAAAGAAGAGAACTTGATGCACTTACTGTTCAGAGACCACAGTCTTCAGTATGGATTACACCTCAACATAAAGAAAACAAAAATCCTCACAAATGGAGCAGTAAGCAACATCATGATAAATGGAGGAAAGACTGAAGCTGTCAGGGATTTTCTTTTACTTGAATCCACAATCAATACCCACGGAAGCAGCAGTCAAGAAAGCAAACATATTGCACTGGACAAACATGCTGCAAAAGACCTCTGTAAAGTGTTAAGGAGCAAAGCTACCACTTTGAAGACTAAAGTGCACCTAACCCGAGCCATCGTATTTTCAGTTGCCTCAAAGGCATGTGAAAGCTGGACAATGAATAAGGAAGGCTAAAGAAGAGTTGATGCCTTTGAATTATGTTGGCGAGGAATACTGACAATACCATGGACTGCCAGAGAATGAACAAATCTGTCCTGGAAGAAGTGCAGCCTGAATGCTCCTTAGAAGAGAGAACTGCCAGACATCGTCTCACATACTTTAAGGATATCATGCTTGCTTAAGTAGAGGGCCAGCAAAAAAGAGGAAGACCCTCAACAAGATGGACTGACACAGTGGTTCAACAATGGGCTCAAGTCTAGCAATGACTAAGGATGGCATAGGACCGGGCAGTGTTTTGTTCTCTTATACATGGGGTCGTTATAGGCTGGAGCCAACTCGTTGGCACCTAACAACAAGGAAGAGTGAGAGAACCAAGGCTAGCAAGGAGCAGGGATCAGATGGAGAAGGGTTACCCATGCTATAGAATAATATTCTATAGGGAATGAGGAACTACTTAATTATTTTAAGAAAAAAAAAAAAAAAAAAAATGTTAATGTTACCATGCTGTAAGACTGCTGCAGTGGAAAAAAAGGTGTGTATTAAGAGATGAAATTAGTGGCAGGAGGCTATTTCAAAAGCCTAGAAAAACATAAGTGAATTCTGGAAGTAGGACAATGTCATCCAAGACCACAAGGAAGAGATACATGTGAGTGGTACTCAGGAGGTAGAAACCACAGATGACTAATTGGATATATGGGGTACAGAATACAGAAACATGTATGGGCTCTTTTCTTCCCCCAGGGAAGATGATGAGTAATAGGGAATTGGGGAATTTTTTGATGGGGATACAGATGTTAAAATGTATAAATTCTGGAGCAGACTGCCTGGTTTCCAGACCTGGCTCTGCTGCTTCCTACTCAAAGACATCTGACCAACCTATGCCTTAGTTAAGGAGCTCTGGTGGCATAGTGGGTAAGGCATCTGGCTACTAACCAGAAGTTCGGCAATTCAAACCCACCAGCTGCTCCACAGGAAGATGATGAGGCAATCTACTTCTGTAAAGATGTGGAGCCTTGGAAACCCAACAGGGGTCACTATGAATTGGAACTCACTCAGTGGCAGTAGGTTTGGTTTTTACCTCAATTACCTCATCTGTGAAATGAGAATGATAATAATAGTACTTATCTCATAGGGCTATTACAAGAATTAATTAAGTTCACATTTATAAAACATACAGAACACAGCCTAAGGAAGTGCCACATGAGTTTGTAAGTAAGTTTAAGATAGAATACAATTTAAAATAAAGGGACTTAACCAAATAGTTAGAGGGAAACACTGAAGATATGAGAAAGAAAAGACATTGAATTTAGGACAAGATCCAGAAAAAAGAGGGAAGGGTGAATGGATTACTCTAGGACAAAAGTAAGAAACATCAGAAAAAGAAGACAGGCTGGATGAGGATGTGCAAGTGGGCAGGTTGGAAGACCAGGGGATCCAAAAGATAGCAGAATTAGGGAGGAAGGCCATCTGATGATGACTGAGATAAAAGAGGCGGAGAGGGATGGGGGTTGAGGGAAGTGGCTAAGGTTTGGAATTGTCCCTGGAATCAAAGAGCTGATCAGTGTGAGAACTCATGTGAAATTAGATACTATAAACCTGCAGTGTCACCAATCTGTATGGATGGGGAAGAAAGGAGATAGGTTAGGAAAAAGAGAAGAAATCAAGTCATTTTCCCTAGTGGTGGGAGTAGGGAATAAGAAAGTGAAGAGCAAGGATGGAGGCTGCACAAAAGGTGGGGTACTGGATTTATGATCTAGAGATAGAATGGTATGAAGATGATAAAGCCCAGATAGCTAGAAAATAGTTTCTGAAAAACAGTGGAAGCAAAGGTTGAGAATTAAGTAGGCCAAGAAAGGTACTACATTAGAAGGATGTATGGAAGAAATTCTTGTGTAAGGTTATCTTGTAGAAAAATAATTTCCCTTTTATAAGCTGAAAATGCAAATTTGATTTAAATACAAAAAAAGTATAAAAATTAAATAAATAAATACACACACACACACACACACACACACACACATATGTCATTCAGAATGATAAGGGAAAAGAGCCAATAATTATTCAAGTACTCACTATAAAGCGATGAAGTCCATAGTATAACAGGATATCAGCTAACGTAAAGTTATAGCCTGCAAGGTAGACTTTATCTTCAAGATATAAATTAAGATCCTAGGGAAAAAGAAATTAATGAAATATTAATTTATGAAATAGAAATATTAAAGTTAACTATGTTTGTACAACTTAAAACATTTAGAGGGTTATTAGAAAACAAAATACTGACATTTAAAAAATGTGATACTTGACATTAATATAGATTTGTTCAAAATCAGACTGTATGCCAATCACCTCATTTAAAAATTAAATTATATTTAATACTATTTTTAAAGTATTTTAAAGCAGAAAACATTAGAAAATGATAAAGAATCATTGATGATAATTTCAAATAAAAAACAAAACAAAACAAAAAAAGCAAATTTACTGCTGTGGAGTCAATTCGACTCATAGCGACCCCTCCTTGAGTTTCTGAGGCAGTATCTCTACGGAAGTAGATCGCTCAATCTTCCTTCCGAAGAGTGGCTGGTGGACTTGAACTGACAGCCTTCTGGTTAGCACTCAAATGCCTTTGGCACTATGCCACCAAAACTCTAGTTTTCAACACCATCTAAAGCTACAAAAACCTGTTATATATTCACCAGACAATGACCGTCACTTTTTAAATGATTATTTTAATTTAAACATATTAAAATAACGAGTTATTTTTAAATCACTCAAAATAAGATAGTAGTAAGTGCTAATCTCCCTAAGTAGCCAACAAGTACTTTGAAAAAAGGTTTTTTCAAAGCCCATGTTTGTTGCTGTTGTTAGGTGCCGTTGAGTCATTTCCAACTCAGCAACCCTATGCACAGCAGAATGAAACACCGCCCAATCCCGCACCAGTTCCACGATCTTTGCTATACTTGAGCCCATCGTCGCAGCCACCATGTCAATCCATCTCGTTAAAGGCCTTTCCCTCTTTCATCGACCTTCCACCTTACCAAGCATGACATCCTTCTCCAGGGAATGGTCCCTTCTGACAACATGACCAAAGTAGGTGAGATGAACTCTGGCCATTATCGGTTCCAAGGAGCATTTCCGCTACACTTCCTCCAGGACAGATCTGTTAGTTCTTTTAGCAGTACATGGTACTTTCAGAATTCTTTGCTAGCACCACAACTCAAAAGCATCAACTCTTCGGTCTTCCTTATTCATTGTTCAGCTCTCACATGCGTATGAGACAATTGAAAATATCATGGCTTGAGTGAGGTGCACCTTAGTCCTCAAGGAGACATCCTTGCTCCTCAGCACTTGAAAGAGTTCCTTTGCAGCCAACTTGCCCAGTGCTATACGTCATCTAATGTCGTGACTGCTGCTTCCATTAGTGTCAATTGTAGAACCAAGCAATGTGAATTCTTTGACAACTTCACGCTTTTCTCCATTTATCGTGATGCTGCTTATTGGTCGAGTTGTGAGGATTTCTGTCTTCTTTATATTGAGATGTAATCCATACTACAGACTGTATTCTTCCATCTTCATCAGCAAATGCGTCAAGTCATCCTCACTTTCAGCAAGCAAAGTTGTGTCATCAGCATATCACAGGTTGTTAATGATTCTTCCTCCAATCCTGATGCCATGTTTTCCCTCATACAGTCCAGCTTCTCGGATTATTTGCTCGGCATATAGATTGAATAAGTATGATGAAATGATACAACCCTGACACACTCCCTTCTTGATTTTAAACCATGCAGTGTCCCCTTGTTCTGTTCCAATGACAGCCTCCTGGTCAATGTACAGGCTCCTCATGAATACAATCAAGTGTTCGGGAATTCCCATTCTTCTCAATGTTATCCACAATTTGTGATGATCCACACTATCAAATGCCTTTGCATACTCAATAAAACACAAGTAAACATCTTTCTGATATTCCCTGCTTTAAGCCAAGATCCATCTGACAGCAGCTATGATATCCCTTGTTCCATGTCCTCTTCTGAATCCAGCTTGCACCTCTGGAAGCTGTTAATATACTGCTGCAACCGTTTTTGAATTATCTTCAGTAAGATATTACTCATGTGCAATATTAACGATATTGCTCAAAGATTTCCGCATTCTGTGGGATCACCTTTCTTTGGAATGGGTACAAATATGGATCTCTTCCAGTCATTTGGCCAGGTAGCTGTCTTCCAAATCTCTAGGCATAATGGAGTGAGTGCCTCCAGCGGGGCATCCATTTGTTGAAATATCTCAATGGGTATTCTATCAATTGTTGAAATATGTCAATGGGTATTCCGTCAATTCCTGGATCCTTGTTCTTCACCAATTCCTTCATTCCAGCTTGAACTTCCTCCTTCAATATCATTGGTTCTAGATCATATGCCACCTCCTGAAATGGATGAAGATCAACCAGTTCTTTTTGGTACAGTGACTCTGTGTATTCCTTCCATCTTCTTTTGATGTTTCCTGCATCATTCAATATTTTGCCCATAGAATCTTTCAATATGGCAACTCAAGGTTTAAATTATTTCCTCAGTTCTTTCAGCTTGAGAAATGCCAAGCATGTTCTTCCCTTTTGGCTTTCTAACTCCAGGTCTTTGCACATTTCATTAAAGTAATTGGCTTTGTCTGTGCAAGCTGCTCTTTGAAATCTGTTCAGCTCTTTTACTTTGTCATTTCTTCCATTTGCTTTAGCTACTCTCCACTCAAGTTTCAGAGTCTCATCTGTCACCCATTTTGGTCTTCTCTTCTTTTTCTTGCCTTTTTAGTGACCTCTTGCTTTCTCCATGTATGATGTTCTTGACGTCACCCCACAATTCTTCTGGTTTTCCGTCATCGGTGTTCAATGCATCAAATCTATTCTTTAGATGGTCTCTAAATCCAGGAGGGATATATTCAAGATCATATTTTGGTTCTCATGGACTTGTTTTAATTGTCTTTAACTTCAAGTTGAACTTGCATATGAGCAGCTGATGGTCTGTTCCACAAACAGCTCCTAGCCTGGTTTTGGCTGAAGATATTGATGTTTTCTATTGCCTTTTGCCACAGATGTACTCAATCTGATTCTTGCGTATTCCATCTGGTGAAGTCCATGTGTACAGCTGCCATTTGTGTTGTTGAAAAAAGGTATTTGCAATGAGTAAGTCATTGGTCTTGCAAAATTCTACCATGCAATTTCCAGCATTATTTCTGTCACCAAGGCCAAATTTTCCAACTACTGGTGATTCTTTATTGTTTCCAACTTTTGCATTCCAGTCACCAGTGATAATTAATACATCCTGATTGCATGTTCGGTCAGTTTCAGACTGCAGAAGTTGATAAAGATCTTCAATTTCCTCATCTTTGGCTTTGGTAGTTGGTACATAAATTTGAATAACAGTCATAATAATTGGTCTTCCTTGTTGTTGTTGTTGTTATTCGCCATCGAGTCGGACGTGACTCATAGCGACCGCTCCTTGGGTTTCCGAGGCAGTATCACTACGGAAGTAGATTGCCTCATCTTCCTTCCGAAGAGTGGCTGATGGGTTTGAACCGCCAGCCTTCTGGTTAGCAGTCAAGTGCCTTAGGCACTACGCTACCAGAGGTCTTCCTTGTAGGCATATGGATATTATACTATCACTGATAGCACTGTACTTCAGGACAGATCTTAAAACATCTTTTGTGATGATGAATGCTATGCCATTCCTCTTCAAATTGTCTTTTCCGGTATAGTAGATCATATGGTTGTCTGATTCAAAATGGAAAAACAAGTCCATTTCAGCTCACTAATGCCTAGGATATCAATCTTTACGTGTTCCATTTCATTTTTGACAACTTCCAATTTTCCTAGATTCATACTTCGTACATTCCATGTTCCGATTATTAATGGATGTTTGCAGTTGTTTCTCCTCAATTTGAGTCGTGCCATGTCAGCAAATGGAGGTCTTGAGAGCTTTACCTTATCCGTATCAGTAAGGCTGGTTTTACTCTGATGATGCAGCTCTTTGCCAGTCGTATTTTGAGAGCCTTCTAACCTAAGTGACTCATTTTCCTCCTCTGTATTGGACAATGTTTCCGGATTATTCATAAAATTTGTGCAGTAATATATCAGACAGTGTTTCTCTACTATTCATAAGGTTTACCCTGGCCAACTCTTTGAGAAGTGGATGGCCTCTTCCTTCTTCCCAGTCTGTCTCAGTCTGCAAGCTGCGCTGAAACCTGTGCACCATGTGCACCCCACTGGGTTTGAAACACTGACGGCATAGCTCAAGACTCACAGCAGCACATCACCACAGTAGGACAAATCCATAGATGAGTATGTCTCCCTTAGCTGTTCGAAACCTCTCCAACCTCTCCTTACCTGGATCCCTACTGCTGCTTCCTCCAAGTCCATGTTTAAAAAAATAAAACTAAATATTAAAGAATCTTAAAAGGTGCTAATCTAAATTGGAAGAAGTATCTAACACACCAGAAGCTCTGGTAGCATAGTGCCTAAAGCACTTGACTGCTAACCAGAAGGCTGGCGGTTCAAACCCACCAGCCACTCCTCGGAGGGAAGGTTGGGCAATCCTACTTCCGTAGTGATACTGCCTCGGAAACCCAAGGAGGGGTCGCTATGAGTCGGGGCCGACTCGACGGCAAATAACAACAACATCATCTAACAACACACCATTGCTGATATCAGATGGATCTTGGCTGAAAACAAAGAATACCAGAAAGATGTTTACCTGTGTTTTACTGACTACACAAAGGCATTTGACTGTGTGGATCACAACAGATTGTAGATAACATTGCAAAGAATGAGAATTTCAGAACACTTAATTTTGCTCACGAGGAACCTGTACATGTAACAGGAGGCAGTGGTTCGAACAGAACAAGGGGACACTGTATGGTTTAAAATCAGGAAGGGTATACGTCAGGGTTGTATCTTTTCACCATACTTATTCAATCTGTATGCTGAGCAAATAATCTGGGAAGCTGGAGTATATTAAGAACATGACATCAGGATTGGAGGAAGACTCATTAATAACCTGCCACAGGTACATGATACAACCTTGCATGATGGAAATGAAGATGACTTGAAGCATTTACTGATGAAGATCAAAGACTACAGCCCTCAGTATGGATTACACCTCAACATAAAGAAAACAAAAATCATCACA